TTGTTTTTGCTGAACCTTTTGAAATAATCGGCGATTACTTTTGTGGTTTTCAATGAGTTAGGCCGCGAGTCCTGCCACGTATCGTGAGCTGTGCTAAAAGGTATGTCCGCATTAATACAATTACATAGGGATGCGTAGTGTCGGGCACTGCCGGCCACTTCACACTCACACATCTCCCGTCCAATACGAGGTTAGTTACCTGCTGGTCAGCTAAACAGACTTTCATAACAGGTTACAGACATTCCCACACAGCGTGCCCATACTCGGGGTCATCAACCGCGAGTATAAATGACGTGGGCGAAATGGCCGGCAAACGCGGCAACAATAGGGTGTCTGACATGTGTTGTCAGTGAAGGGCACGTAATCTAAATCCAAGTGAATATCTGTTATGTGAAGTATTTTATATATCTTTTTGCTTTTCAAAAAATGTCTTTTGCGATAGTCGTCGGTCCGATCGGGTATATCGAGCTTCCAGTGCAGGTTCTCAGACTCCCCACTATAGCACTGGTCGCCCATCACTAGACCGCATATCTCTGTCCGTTCCAGTCGTGTATTGGCTCTGATATACTCGACCTGATCCTAGTTTAGCACAACATTTCATGTTTCAAATTACGATTGATTTTTAAAGTAATTCCTCCATTGAAACAAACCTTAAATATATTGATATATCCGTCGCAGACCTCAGGCGTCGATAATTTAAGTGTTGAACAAATATTAATGAAAGCAAAGGCCAGAGAGTCGGCCGAAAACCATGTGCTAAATATTATGGTCACAATTGAATGACAGGCCAGACATGTTAGCGCTGATGATATGCCTTCTTTGAGTGAGTAATATAACTGTAAAAACATAATTAATGTTTGCAATTAAACTAAATTAATAGCAAATATTGTACTAACAGTTGTTGTGTCGACAATAGTTAATACATTAAATACACTTTTGGCGATAAAGTTAATGATCGTGTCGTCAATAATTGCAATCTTAGAGTTGGGCCGAGTATTGAAACTACCGTTTCTGGTGTTAGACAATGCATTTTCAAAGTTTTTAATATAACATTAAATACACTTTTGGCGATAAAGTTAATGATCGTGTCGTCAATAATTGCAATCTTAGAGTTGGGCCGAGTATTGAAACTACCGTTTCTGGTGTTAGACAATGGTAAAAGTTTCAAAAATTATAGTCAATATTAAAGGCTATTAAACACTTAACGAAAGTTAAGTCAAAGCAATACTAACGATAGCCAAACTTTAAAAACTATGTTTAAGAAGTTATGACAACTTAGCAATTTAAGATTTGCATTCAAACACTCTGTCGTCAAATAATTTAAAATTAATTGAATTAATATTATTTTTGTCAACATTTTGTATGCGAAATAAGTTTTATATAATTATCATTATTATCAAAAAATTAAAAATAAATGTTTTATTTGTGTCTGAATTTCAATAACAGAATTGACTATTAAATAACATATGCTTTTGCTGTATATTTAGGCCATTCATGATATAAAACACAAAAATATACAAAATATGGGACAAAATCACGAATAAAACAAGATTTTATGCATATTTTGTATGTAAAATGTATTGACTCTAACATTAATCATGTTTATAAAATAATATTTATTAATTCATTTTAATTTGATAAATGATTAAATTAAATACATTAATTTTTATGCAAATATACTACCGTATATTTACTTAATCTTTCATTGACTTATTCATTACAATTATTGTAAATTACATACAATTTATAGCTTATAGTCTAAAGAATCCGTGAAAACGTAATCATTAATAAAAAGCAATGTAAAAGCATAAGGATTTTTATGACTACACATAACTCTAGTAATAATGCAAATTAATTTTCCATAGAAATAACATTATAACAGAAATATACTATAATTTTAAACCAAATAAACCTCAGAGACCTTCGGAGAGAAATACCGATCGATTATAAACTTGAACTCCGATTTGATTTGGCCTTCAGTTTAAACACCAATTATTGTCATAACTTTTGTCTTTCATTCAATACCTGTTAAAAAGTGATCATTAGTTTAATCCTTGNCCTGTTAAAAAGTGATCATTAGTTTAATCCTTGAATTTATTCACAACAAAGACAACAGTATTTAGGATTTAAATCAATTGATTCTTGTTTTTTATTTGAGTTATAATTAATTTTTTATGAGAAATCACATCTAAATTCCTTTGTTTTTATAGTTCTGTCATTATTTTTATTACAAGTCATAAAATTATATAAAAATACTTTAAATAAATTGAAATACACTATAAATCACATGCGGTTAACAAATCATATAATATTATTAATAATTAACGACAAATTTTATTCCAGAAATATTTTATAATGAATTTCTTTATTAATTAACAGAAAAGTAAAAAATAAAACTTTAAAAACGCATTTTATTTAAAGTAACACCAGATTAACCGACACTTGTAATGGATTTAGGGATAGATTGAAAGGGATTACAAATTGTCACGTCGTTTATAATCTTGGATTTACAATCAGTATTACAGTAATCATTGACTTCGAGACTAAATCTTCGATAACGTGAATAAAATAACTGAAGGTAATAGTTGTCGCGATTTATTTTACGGATCAGTTGATCGAAATCATTGTTTCCAAAGTTCATTGAATAGTCGACAGACATTGAGTACTCCAACGGCCACTCGGGTGTCGACCCTTCCTCCAGAGTGTTGGCCCGACTTAAGTCCAGGGAATAGGTCTCTATGTTATCAATTATGCCTAAGATATACATCAAATAACTTTATTATATACTTTATATTTCATAAAACAATATACAATACCGTTATCTCTAATCTTCACTAAACGATAGGCGGGATTGAGACGAAGACTGCCGTCATATGGGGTAACACTGGGGCTAATAATCCCAAATCCAATAACTTTATTGCAATCATAGTTAGAGTAATAGACTCTCAGCTCATCATAATGTGTGTGACCGTAGAATTGAGCCACAATTGTATCGCTATATCTCTCAATGATATTTAAATAGTTATAGAGCCAGCCCTGAGTGCACTCCCGATTGTCGGGTGGAATGTGTCCCACAATATGGACAAACTCTGAGGCCTTTTCGGCCAAATCTAACTGATATGACAGCCATTTGAGTTGATTCGCCGGATCTATCGGTTGATAATACGTCCAAATGTTAAGTCGCGCGCAATAATTGGTGTTCACTACTATTACCCGAAATCCGGGCCTTACTCTTAGTGTATAATAACCGGCACTAAAATTATGCAAATTTCAATCAATTTGCAAATTTATTATTAAAATATATGTTTTGTGTCAATCAATGCTTACGAGCGAAATGAAGACAACTGATCCGTTGGGAACAATTCAGACCATTCATTAATCATATGATCGAAAACATAACGAGTGGACAAACTGTTAGTGATGTCCGGCGGAGAAAAGCTATGAAAACAATAAATATGCTTAATATTAATGTTTTAAAAAAATCAATGGTTCGTACGTTCCGACCGGAACTGCCATATGATTGCCGAGTGAGACAATCACTGGACTCTTAGAATATTTCTTCAAATAGGATGTAATAATTTTGGATGCGCTGAGTATACCCTCTTTGGAGTCCTGCCTATTGTCGGGATATAAAGATCTTGGCTTTAATCTGGAAAAACTATTCAATAGTTATATGATATCCTAGACTTACCACGTGTCGTGAGGGGTTACATCCCCTGTCCAGTAGACCAAATCAATGGACTGCCAGTCAATTGTTGCAAACAAATTGTCCAACAGCTTAAGGGGTGTATCGCAGAAATAGGACCCCCACTGACCGGCATCGGGAGTGGACGGGACTGTTGTGCTGTTGGCTCGACAACAATAAGGAGCTCCACATTTGGGCTCAATTAACGGCGAGTAGTGTTCGTCCAAATGAATGTCCGTTATGTGCAATATATTACTAGTTTTGTTGCCGTTGTTTTGTTTGGCTTTTGGTTTTGAATTAATTTTCTTTCGTTTATTGAGTTTTAATTTCCAGTATATATTATCCGTTGGATTTCCGACCAAACACTGGTCACCCAATAGTAGGGCACAAACTTCTGGTGTACTTAATCTTGTGGTGTGTCTTACCTGATCCAACGGTTCCTGTTTTATAATTGGATTTTTCAGATTTTTATGAGAGAGAGAGAGTCTATTACTCTAACTATGATTGCAATAAAGTTATTGGATTTGGGATTATTAGCCCCAGTGTTACCCCATATG